TTTTTTTTACCAGGCGAGGATGAAAATATATTTTTTCTTTCTTCATTTGGGGTTTGGTATTTTAGGCATTTTTCCTGGAAATAGGGGCAAATAGCTGGGGGTCCCCAACTGGTTAAAATACATTTTTAAGGAAACGTACACACACGTGTATACATAGGTGGAAATAAACTGATAAGTAATGTTTCTCCTATAGCTCGTAATCACTAGTGTCCTACTTCAGTCCTTCCAGATCCAGTGTGGATTCCACACTTTCCAGATTCGTATAGGGGAGAGCGGGGTGAGTTGAGCCACTTTTTACTCGAGGTGTCTTTAAAGCGAGGACATGACATGTGATGTCTCCAACTGAAATATGTGCATATATTTCAGGATGTGTTGCGTCCCTGGGAATAAACAATTCGGAAATAAATTGTTTTCAAAATATGGCTTTCCAAAACAAAGTGGACTCTTGGCGGAACTTGAGCCACATGGGGGGTAAGTTGAGCCACATGGGGGTCGGGGACATCAATGTCATTTCATCGTGCAAAACTCAACGCCAGGTCCCAACATTCAGTTGCACTTAGATAGTGAAACACTGCAGCTGTGTCTGCTGGTTGTTTCATATCAGTGTATCGCTTTACAGTCCTCCTGTTGGTCTTCACGTCCCGCGACACCTGATGAATGGACTTCCTGTTTTTCCTCTCCCACTGCTCTCTGTCCAAACCCACAATAGGAGTTGAAGCCTGTCTGTCTTCCATTCATAGAAGCATGAGATGATGGTTTCTGTTGTGGTGGCAGCCCGGCTGACGGTGAGTGTCCTGGTTTTTCTGCTTTTTATCAGTTTTCTGCTTTTTTCCTTGGTTTTCTGTTCCCTGCCTGCCTCCCTGTGTTTTCTCCCCTGTGTGCTCTCTCTCTCTCTCTCTCTCTCCCTCTGCTCCTGAGCCCAGCCGACTACCTGCACCTGCATCTCATCAGCCATCTCGTCAGCCTGCCACACCTGCCAGTAATCACCTCATGACTGCCTGTATTTCAACCCCGGTTCTCCACACCATCCTCGCTTGATCGTCGTTGCTCCATACCCGGTGCCACCCCCATGTTCAGGCTTTCATGTTTCTTGTTTTTCACATTTTCCCTGTGCCTTGTCGCTGTCTTCCCTAACCCTGTCTCTCTGTCTGTTTCCCTCCCAGGTTCACTCACCCTCGTCCTCCGTTCGGCTGGGCTCATCCACCGGCCCACTCCTCCTCGGACTTCCCTCACGGCGTCCTCCCTGTTCCCCCGCCTCTCCTCGCTTCCTCGGCCCCTGTGTTCCCCGGCTCCCTGGCCCCCTGTCTCCTTGGTTCCCCGTGCCTGTACGTCCTTCAATAAACCTCCTTCCCTCTGAGCGCTGCATTTGGGTCCTCTCTGTCCACACACCACACCTCGTAACAGGTTTCTGCTCTAAAATGCATAATGTCACATCATCTTGGCGATGCATAAAAATGCAACGTAAAATTACAGTAAAATATCTGGGCTCAACTTCCCCACAGGCTCAAATCACCCCGCTCTCCCCTTTATGTTCAGGACAGTTGGAGGCGCCAACGCCGTCTTAAAAAGCTCTTGTTTTCCTTTTAAATAGTAAGTATTTCTTTTCTAATGACGCATATTTGGACAGTTCCTTTTACCACTAACCAATTCTTGGTCTGTGTACATTTTTCCCATCATCTGTTTTGCTTGTAACAGAGAAAGTGCTCTTTCTTCCTTAACTTACGTTCTTCAGGGTAACAGCCAAAGAAGAATTAGAGTTCCATTGTTAGTTGTAAAAAATAAAATCACTTATGTGTCTCCAGCGGTTGAGCTCTGACGATTAGTCGATAAATTGATCAGTTGTCAGCTATTTAAATTCAAAACCTTTATTACAGACTCGAGGTCCAAATCTTATTCACAACAATACATAAATACATACCCACAAACGCATTCATATAGCAAACACCACAATAAATCATGGTTAGAAAAATGAACAGTATCAAATTAATTTAAAACAATTCTCATTGTTCTAGCAGGAGACAATCATACCAGTGTTTCCACATGTGGGATTGGTAGCGTGTAGTACTTAGCCGTATGTTAATTAAGCCCAATATTATTTCATTTTGTGACCCATTAAGGCGGCACATGAATTTATATATTAGGTTTCTTAAACTGCGTGAAAATTTCTTACTCCACAAACATCTCGCTTGCACCACACCATCGTGGTCTTGTGAGTAATTAAATCACTCGCTAACTATTTCCATAATCGATCAATTTTTAAGAAAATGAGTCAAAATTCTCTGATTCCAACATGTCCTGGTTTCTTTCCTCCTCTGTGACAGACATTTGAGTGACGTCCTCCAGGGCTTTGGGAAACACTGATCGGACATCGTTCACCATTTCCTGACAGTTTATGGACCAAACAACTAATCGATTAATCACTATAATGATTGACAAATTAATCAATAATGACATTAATCGTTAGTTGCAGCCCTATCCAGCAGCTGAGAAGATCTGCTAGAGTGGAGGATGCCTGGACACACGTATGGTTAGAGGCCAGGTTAAACAATGCGTGATGATTTATTAATTTTATGCGGATAGTCAGAGCCGTGCTGTTCAAACGTGTTGGTGCTACAAGTGCTAATTTCTGCCTGATCTGGATACAAAAAGGATCAAATCGTTTGACTGGTACCAGGTTGTTTGGACTGATCGAGAACAGATACCCAGCCACACCGACACAGGCCTGAGAGGTTTTCATCCCTGCTAAACAAATAAAGGGAGTAAAAACAGTGGCAGCGCCGTGGCTCTCTGGTTGGCTGTTAACTGTTAAACTGGTGCTGAGCTCCTCATACGACACAACTTCATGCCCCTCTTACAGATTATTCAGAGAAGCATTACTGCCCCAAGTCATGAAATTGACGTCAGGGATTAATCTTTGCTCACATTTCAGACAGAAACACCCGTACATACACTAAATTCTCCCACTGCATCCCAGCTCATGATTCGTTCCTCCCTCCGGTGCAGCCGCTTCTTCTTTCCGGCAGGACTTAAGGCAGGAAAAGCAGATCACATTCGATTTAAATTCCTTCATGGATTCATTCCTGCTCACACACACACACACCGGCACTTTTCTCTTCCCGATTTAGCCCTCCTCTGCTCTGCCGTGCCTCTATTCTCCGTCTCTCTGCAGTGTAAATCACATTAAGCTCTAATAGGCAGCTTAGACGACCACCCAAAGCACCACGGGCCATTACCTACTCCATTTTAAGAAGATCTGCTCAGTAATAACTACCCATTGCTGGAAATTAAGGCACCTGCCTTCCGGCCAGAAGCGGTAATGTCCGCAGAGATTGTCAGATTATTGAGCTTTCCACTGCCGTTTCAGCCAGGAGGAGGAGGAGGAGGAGGAGGCCGTTGTTTGGCTGAAGCTTAAAAACCCTGCACTGTAATCACTGTGTCACAGGTTTAAATCCGGCCTCAGCACAAGAAGAAAGCAGGGTGAGCTCATCTTTTAAAATTTCAAGGTAAATAATAATAATGTACATATAAATAAATAACAACCTTTCCCTATTTCGGTTTAGAGTTTCTTATTTTTTATTGTTAAACCAGCAGGTGTTGCTTTTTTACGGAAGCCCTAAGAGGCCATACATTCATACATTTTTTTATCTCTGTTTTCCCGTGAGAATGACTTAATTTAATTTGTTTTCTCGAGATATTTATGTTTTTATCTTGAAATAACAATGGTTGTTTTCCCCAGATAACGACATAATTAATTTCATCTTGAGAGAACAAAATGAGTACAGGGGTCAGCAAGTAATTTTTTTTAAGGATAATTTCCCCGGTTAGCTCAGTCGGTAGAGAACGGGACTCTTAATCGAAGGGTTGTGTAATTGTAGTCTTTTCAAAAGGCATCTGAAATAACAACCGAATTGCAATGCAGCACTATGACACTACAACTCCCATGAGTACTACCTGTAGGCCTACATGGTGTTTGCTCATTGGTCCATTCGTGAAGCCCATTGTCTTGAACAACAACACTGTAATGTAAATGCACACACATCGCACAATGTTCAGTGCGCGAGTGGCCGAGAAAATGCACAGGAGAGCGAGAGAAAGAGAAAAGGCAGGAGGAAAGTGTCGGTAAATGCTGTAAATTACAGTTATCTTCATGATTAAGGGACATGGTGGTGTTTAAAAAAGGACACAACATAGACTACTAGCAGGGCTGCCGTCATCTCACATCATATCGTCACTACCTTTTTAATAAAGCTTCTCACGGCATATGTTGGAAAGCAGGAGCTGCGTTTGTATGGGAATAATCTGGAAAATAAAGACCTGTGGACTCAGATGGACGTATCTCCCGTTACTCAGAGCGACCAGAGCTTCAAGATGATGAACATGAATCCCGTCAAAGCTCTGAGGAAATGCAGATGCAAAACAAAACTGATGTAGGCCTAGATAAAGTTTAAATCCGGTGGCCTTAATTGTGGATTTTTTCTTAGACATTTATTCTTTGTTTCTAATGCAGAACATTTTTCTACTCTGTATTACAGTATTTACTGCTATTAAAAATAAATAGTTATATCTTTTCACCCATGCAGCACTTTTAATATATGTAATAAGAAGCTGCTATTTTTACGTGTTTATCTTAATAAACTACATGTTTTCATTAAAAAGGAGCTTTAAACACAACTTTATCAGAGCTAATGATAATATTAGTACATTATAGCACACCAATTATAGCACACCAATTATAGCACACCATAGTCAACTTTAATCATCTATATAAATAATCATCAATCAACGTAATTTTCCAACAACAAAAATGTGGCTAGTGAAAATGCTGTGTGGCTAGTAACTCTGGGAAACCACTAGCCACATTGGCTGGTGAGCAAAAAAGTTAATGTCAAGCCCTGATAATGTCTGAATGTACGGCCTCTTATGGCTTCCGTAGTTTTTCATCTTTGTAAATAAGAGCACTTTATTTTTTACGCTCATACTTGCAGCACTTTACCTGCTGGGGAGAGGAAGAGTTTTATTGGTAAAACCTGGACACATTTACTAGAGATGTTGACGGGACCCAGATGCCTTCAGGTCCCTGACGTTTCGTTGCCCTGCACCCTTCACATGAACTCCATGTGATGTCTTTGAATGCTGGGTTCAGGTCCAGGTCTTTGCTGAGGCCTTGGAGCGCCTTCCTGCTGCATCAAACATCAGCCGATTCTTTCGTCCTCTGCTCCGAGAGGCAGCGGTGACTTTTCCTCCGCAGGCGGTCGGTCCCTCCAGGTTCACTACAAAATCTGCTGACGACAAAAAGACCTCCATTTTTCGTAGCAGACCGACGTGACGCTCAGCGCCCTGAAGCCGGGAGAGGAAGGAAACAACAGCAGGGAGGTGAGACGCTGTGCTGTCGGACAGGAAGCAGCACAGAGACACAGCTGATTACTGTGTTTTTATTTTATTTAAGAAAGTTACAAATCAGAATCAGAAGGAGCTTTATTGCCAAGTAGTGTTTTACACGTGTCTACACGCAGACAAACATACAGTCAACATAAATAAATAAATGTGGAAATATATAAATATGGAATTGAAGAACAACGTTGCAGATATATACATGTGCATTATTCTCAACAGTAGCTTGTGGAGATGCGGCATTTAAAAACACAGCAGCTAAATCAATAAAAAAATCTTGAGATCTGCATGATGAAGTTTCCCAGTGACCTCGGGGCATGAGAGTCTCCCTGAGGCTGACTGTTGCCTACTCTCTTTTCCTGCCAGGATGTGAATATTGTCTTTGCAAGGTTCTTTAGCTTTGGAAAACTCTCTTCTCAAAGTTAGCATAGTTCTTCAGGGTAGTGATGAAATCCAAATTTGCAGCATCCAGTTGGGTCCCCAGGTTTTCGGTAGTTTCCAACCTGAAAGTGATTCTCCTGGGCTTAATTCAACCTGAAGCTGGTCCATCTGTTTGTGATGTTGTTCTGCAGTTTTATCTATTTTATGTTATCTGTCTTTGCGAAACGTACTAATAGCTTGCTCGTTAGCATCAGCATGGTGTGTGGCGTCCCGGCCAGCTCGCCTTCTCTGCTGCCGAAACTTTGCAGCATCCTCTACGGTTCATCAGCCAAATCCCTGAATAAACTTCAACACATCCAGAACTCTGCTGCCTGCCTCCTCGTCCACACCTGTGACCACATCACCCCTGTCCTCCAGAATCTCCACCGACTCCCTGTGACCTAATGCATTCAATATAGGATCCTCCTCCTCCACAACCGGGTCCCTTCAGACCTGACAGACCTGCTCTACGTAACCTCAACTCCTCCGACACAAACCTCCTCTCCCCACCACTTAGGACCAAGCACCATACATGGGGCTCTCACCATCGCGGCGCCCTCGCTCTGGAGCTCCCTACCAATACACATCCGTGATGGACACATTCAGATCACTTATTAAAACCTACCACTTTAGATTTGCCTTCACCCTCTAATTATAGGACATTTCACCTGCTGATTTTTGCTAGTTTTATGATCTCACCTGCATTTATGTATTTTGTATTTATGTGGGGGCGGTGATGGTGCAGTGGATAAGACACATGCCTTTGGTGTGAGAGACTCGGGTTCAATTCCCTGCGCAAGAAACTTAACCCCTTGTTGCTCCAGAGGCACTGACATGTATAGCAATTGTAAGTCGTTTTGGATAAAGGTGTCAGCTAAATGTAATGTAATTTATTTTATGCATCTATTTTTAATGTGCTAAATGTACAGATTTTATTGTAAAGTGTCCTTAAATCCCCTGACAAGGGTATTTGGATAACTTCAGGTTTAGCCCCCCGCTAACTTCAATGGAGGAAAAATTCAAGCCATTATAAATGGCGGGCCAGAAGAAAGTCCAATTATTTCAATTCCTTGTGTACTCATGTGCATGCATGTTTAGCTCAGTAGGTACCGTCATCAATTTATTTATTTTTCTGCTATCAAAGCAATCGGTCCGCCGATTGCCGACCACTGCTCTAGACCTTCCAAATTAATCAAATTCTGAAAGTGAAAGTAGTTTTTTGACAGGTGATGAAGCTCAAAAAAATGTATCCACTGTTTTATAGCCGCTTGTTTGGCCACTAGAACCACCAAAATTGGCTTCAAAGCACGGAGCACTTCCTGGGGGCTCGGAGGAACTGTGATGCTAACAAGCCGGTCTGGATTGTGTAGTTACATTTTTGGGGAGGTGGTCTGCACAGAGCCCCGACCCTAACCCCACCCAACAGCTTTAGGGTGAACCGGAGTGCCGACCGTGAGTCAGACCTGATCAACCTCAGTGATGGAAGCAGTGTTGCTCTTGTGTCTGAATGGGAACAAATTCCTGCAGCAGGTTCAACACCTGCTGTAAAGATTTAAAACAGAAGAGTGACGGCTGTTGGAGCAGCACACTAATAAACATGGTGTCCGGTGTCTACATACTTTTGGCCATATAGCGTCCAGCGACGGTCTCCATTAGAGACCGGAACGGTTTCGAACTTCACTCTTAATTGCATTTTCTCTGCCGGTATTGTGCACTTATAACACTTCCCCAGTAACGATGTGAGACTAATTTAACAGTTGATACTAAGAGTTGATTTGTAGGAAGCACAGACTTTAATATGTGACCTTGTCTTGAGATTCTCCTTGGAACAAACTTCATGCTATAAATGATGCAGCCAGAAAGGAGAAGGGATGAACCAGATTCACTTAATCTGAATAATTCAAATGTGACCAGAATTTGCAATTTCATTACCCCCATTAATGAGTTAAAAACAGAAGCAGAGATTCAGCTCCAGAGCTTTTAGAAGCTCAGATATTCAGTCGGCATGAGAGTTTAAAGTTTGTGTGTCTTGGTTGTATGTTTTCTGCTTCGGTCAGCGTTGTGTTGCCCAGTTTACTGTCGCTCCTCAGTTTTACAGTTTGTCTGCACACACTCAACCTTTCACACCTGTATTTAATCCAGTTACACACAATGAAAGCAGAACCATCTCAGCTCAAGTCACTGCTGTTGTTCTTTCTCTTCGCCTCCCGTCTTGACGCCGATTTGACCTTTCCTCGGACTTCCTGTACAGAGCTTCGAGGTCAAAGGCCCATCTGGGCGCTGCAGTAATTCCGCCACGATGTTGAGGTGGACAGCAGAGGCAATGGGACACCTGCAGAGGGGAGAGGAGGCTGATGGGAAAATTGAGTCAGCATCTAGCTGCGCAGATCCACAGACAAGAGACTGTATGTGCATAATCAATGAGTAACCGGTTGGGACAAGGGCGGCAGAACCGGACTTTAAAGTGCCTCCAGAGTGACTCGGTGGTGACCCGGCCAGGTGTTGAGGCGTGTGGCCTTCAGAAAGAAAAAGTTTTCAAGCCAAACTGTCTTGATAATGATGGATAATGAGGACCACGGTGAGACCTGAAATGAATAGTTTTTCCTCCCCTTAGCTCACCAGCTCCCTTTCCCTCTCCCCTCCAGCTTATAGACTGGATGTGAGTCACTTTATTTTCACTTTAGCTTCAGATTTATTTTCTGTCCTTTTCGTTTGATATTAAACATTTTCCTGGAGAAACCCCACGATTTCAGGGGACTCATTTTTCCAAAGCCTCCCAGGTGAGCTGCCATCATTGTGCCTCTCCCCCTTTCAATAAAATAAACCCATATATACATAAACTCTGTGTTGTTGTGCCTGTTGGGTAGCCTTTTATCCTCTTTGCAGCCATCCCCACTCAGGATCAGCTGACCTGTGAGGTTCAAATCAGCAGAATATTCTTTCAATGTTATTGTAATATAACATTTCAAGATCCGGTACGGCTGTCGCTGGACTCGTACTTGCCAAAGCTAATCCATGTCATTTTGGGAAACGGCCATATATATCGCAGTACTTTCCAAGGTACAATCAGGGACAATCTCTGCATTCAGGTCACACAATACAGGTAACGAGCTGAAATGTGTGTTTCTGAAAGACATCTGGTATAAACACATGATACTACTCGGCAATAAAGCTCCTTCTGATTCTGACTCTAAAGAATGTATACAAACACATTCAGACCTATTATAATAGCAACATGACCGGCTGATCCCAGAGCTGTGCATGAGAGCTGATTTAAATAGAGTTGCTGTGTAAATATGAATTGACATTTGTCAGGCTGCCAAACTCATGTAAAAATCCAACTCAGGTTGTTTGACAGCTCTTATCTTAGCCCAAATGAACCGCACCAAACGGGTAAGTGTGAAAGCTTTTCTCCTGAACTTTGCAAAGCTCAAAAAACAAAAAAAACCATCCAAAATACATACACACACATCAGCATGGCCGGATTTTGTGCTTGAATGTGCTGAATGAATTACGAGGAACGTGGATGACTCGGGAAAAGTTTCACCTGTTAACTTTCTCTCAGCGAGAAGTTAAATGAATCCACAGCAGACAAACAAACAGTGAGAGTGCAGCATGAGACTGGCGCCTGCACCGCCCACCAGGTTTCTGCAGAGCACCGGCAGCTCAGAGCGGAGGGGGGGGTTATATTCACTGCAGCCCACCACTGTCTCTGAGAGATGAAGGAGAATAACTCAAAAAGATACAGAAAGTTATGCACACTCGAGGGACGTTATGCAGCCTGAAGTGCAAGGTTTAAAGAGGACACATTTAATTATGAGTTACAACAAGAGAGAAATATACAGAGAATCATGGGTGAGGAAATACCGGGAGGGACTGAGAATGGGAGTAAAAGAGAAAATAGCAGAGGAAAAAGTGTCTGTGGGGGCGTGAAGGTGACGAGAGCCTGCAGAGGGAAGCGAGTACACAAAATGGGAGAGAAGAGCAGATGGTGCTTTATCTCTCTTCACAGAATGGCATCACATTACCACCAAATTTAATCTAATCTCCACAAAAATGCGACAGATCCATTTGGATACGGCCTCCAAGAAGAGCCGAGGGGCACGACGGGCGTTTTTATCGCTGTGAAGGAGAACGTTGTTCCATTAATCTCCTCCTCTGGCAGCCCTCAGAGTCCGATCGGAGCCGGCGATGAGACGGCTGCTGAGCAAACAAGAGCAGCTTCTCATCGGAGGAGGAGGAGGATCTGAAGAGAGATGAAGGCTCGGACAAGCCTGATGTGCCAGAATCGCACTGCTGACAGAACAAGTATTAATTTTGAATTATCACGCATCAGTCGTGGGTTTGAGTGAGTCATAAACTTGGGAGTTGTTCGGAGCGAGTTGCAGCGTAAACGGTGATGTGAAGCTTGTCTGCGCACAAACCAACACTGAGAAATTCTTCAACCCGCTGATGCACTTGAACACATCATTCCTGATAGAAACTGTTACCTAACCCTTAAAAGCACCTCGGGTATTTATAGACTGTGCACCATATCACACCCTGTCTCATCCAGTTTCCCTGAATTCCTCAAATTACTTGTTTTTTTAAATCAGTTTGGTGTCTAAATGAAAACCGCTTAAAAATGTCTTCAAAAGGTTTGTTGGATTCTTAGAGACTAAAGGAAACAGGTAAAAGAAGGTGCTGGGTTTCCTTTTGTGTGTCACTGTATAAAGGTTTTTTTCAGCAGAGCATTTTTTGGACAAAATGAGTCTGAAGCCCTTCGTGGCTGGTGATTAATCAGATAACTCAGAAGCAGAATCACCAACATGAGGCCAACACATCATTCACAAGCAAACAATACATCATTTATAGGAATTCAGGATGCATGTAAAGGGAAAAGGTGAGACTTGGTGTCGGGGTTTTCGGGATGTGGGGGAAGGCAAACGAAGGGTGGGTCGAGCTGGGCAGGATGAGTAGATCAGCTATAGGCAGGCCTGACATGTGCTTAGGTGTGTGGTTGAGGCACGGCCCTGCTTAAATTAACTTAATTCTGAATCCTCAGTGCTTGTCTGACTGAATGAAAACATTTCTTCTCACACACCTGTGTGCTCTTACTGCTGACCAGTGAACACACCTGGATCAAAGCTTTGGTAAACATTTTGCCCACAAAGTCGTGTCACATGTGTAGTTTAGGTTATATAACAGAGATTACTTTAGGGTTACTTATTTATTACAGGTGGGAGAAAAAAAATCGATTCTTAGAAGCATCGCGATGCGGACGTGTAAGATTCTGACTCGATTAACAAATGTTAATAATGTAATGTTGACAGACTGACACAACAGAGAGACCACCGTTCCCCTGTATTCGGCACACCACCGCTGCAGAATGAATAACCACCCTACTTAAATGTCAAACAATCATTAATATTATTGGGCAAGTGATGATTTTAGCACGGTGACACTCAACGCTGGGCGATCTCTCTGTGTATCCTGAGTGTGAGACCGAGCGAATGAGAGCGAGTGAGCAGCAGAACATGACGGTGAAAGTTAGCGGAGAAAAATATTAGCATTGAGTTTTTGTCAGGTAATGAACGTGCAGTGTAGGTCACAGTGTGTCCGTTAATAAAAGTATGTAGTTTCCCCAACTGCTGGAAAAGTGAAGGCAGTTAGCGCCAAGCTAACATCTCTCTGTACAGCACGTTTTTTGGCTGTTATGTAACGTTAGCTAAAATAGCAACAAAGTAATATTAATTAGCTCAACTGTATAACTAACTCACCTACTTGTAAAGGGTCGAGAATATCAGATACAGGCTTAGACTAAACTGGTGTACAGCTCTGTCCTGTATACAAACTGTACATCCTGATAATTATATTTCAGTTTTTCAATAATATTTCTACACGAGTGTCCTTTTATCGTGGCCAGCCTAAGGCCTTTTATCGTGGCCAGCCTAAGGCCTTTTATCGTGCCAGCCTAAGGCCTTTTATTGTGGCCAGCCTAAGGCCTTTTATCGTGCCAGCCTAAGGCCTTTTATTGTGGCCAGCCTAAGGCCTTTTATCGTGCCAGCCTAAGGCCTTTTATTGTGGCCAGCCTAAGGCCTTTTATCGTGGCCAGCCTAAGGCCTTTTATCGTGGCTAGCCTAAGGCCTTTTATCGTGGCCAGCCCAAGGCACACCTGTGCAGTCCCCATGCTGTCTGATAAGCATCTTGATATGCCACACCTGTGAGGTGGATGGATTATCTCGGCAAAGGAGAAGTGCTCACTAACACAGATTTTGACAGGTTTGTGAACAATATTTGAGAGAAATAGGCCTTTTGGGTACATAGAGAAAGTTTTAGATCTTTGAGTTCAGCTCAGGATGAATGGGGGCAAAAACAAAAGTGTTGCCTTTATAATTTTGCTCAGTGTATAATACACGATCTACAAATAGATTCAAATTATACACATCATAAGCCACAAATAGAAACTGGTGATTTGTGATTTGTACCAGAATTTGAATGAATGTGAAATGATTTGTCTGCACAAGGGTCATATTCTATTTATAGATAGTTTTGTTTTGTATTTGTAATAATATAATGATATTAACATCGATTTACCCCCATAGACTCTGCATCACATGAAAGGGTGGTGAAGGTAGATGAAGTGTTAGAGGCACATGGCTAAACAAAAACAAGCATCCTGGTGAAAAGAATTGGGCGGATATGTTGGTGGGAGCTGTGCCCCGGTTATGTTCAGTTGTTCATTTTGCTAAATACCCACAGCAGCTTAAATTAAAAAAGGACAATTTTCACCTCAGGCTGCACAGAAATCCTTATTTTCCATGTTGGAATCATGTTTTGTTTGGTTTCATAGCTGCATATAAATCTGTTAATGGTGGAAACCTGAGATGCAGATCAGCAACAAAACTGAGCTGTCAATCACATCCCAAAAACAAGCTCTTTCTCAGAAATACATGTTTTATTCAAAATGAAAAGGGAGCAAAAGTTACACGTTTATTGAGTTACTGATACTGAAACTCAAATATTTACATTCTAAGAACTAACACTAAGTTCTGTCAGTTTCATTTGCCAAGATAAATCTGAGTCTGAGTGTTTTCTATATGGCTCTATGCCAAAGACACGGCAGGTAATGATTCACTAAGTGTAATTCCGCTCAAATTTAGGTTCTTCTGCTTGTATCCAAAATGGAACCAGCCATTGAAACCCAATCCTAATTAAAGTGGTTCATGCTGTAAACAAAAATCATATAATGTATTCAGATTCTGCTAAAAGCTTTCAAGATGAATGAAGTAGATTAAAAGTCAGTGTTGCCGTGTAGTTTGCTCCTGGATAGAGCGCTTACTGTGGAGAAGTCAATTACACGCTTTGACTGACGGTCTGGATCGAGCCAGTTTGCTGTTAGAAGTACAGCAGAGATAATTAAAGCACTGTGCTGGAAGGTTAGTTAGTATTAACCTGGCAATCAAACCCATTAGCTGTATTTGCAGTTTAATATTGAGGCAATATCTCACACCAAACACAGGATGTTTATTATTAGAATCTAATATTTGGTGGAAGTTCTCAGCATGTGGCAACTTCAGAATACTATATGCTCAGGATCTTGACTCAGTGCTGTTAAAACGTTACCTGCTGCTACTGTTGACATTTACTGGGTCGTTCTGTGTAACTTTTTTCTGCTTACATTCATTAGGTAAATTGTGAACACCTGGGGGACCCAATGGGTGGAGATATATAAGATCCATAACTATGTTTTCAGTGGTGTGTAAAGACCTTACATAATAAAGCATTATGTTTTCATTACCTTAGAATGAGACATTTATATCTCCATAACCGCGGATCCCACCTTTCATGGACGTCGCCACGTTGCATCGTCACGTTTCTACAGTAGCTGAAAACGGACAAACAGCGCTACAGAGCCGTCACTACGTTCTTCTTGTTCTACTTCTGGTGGAATTCAGATAGTGCAGACACTCACTGTGTTTAATACGTACGTTAGAAGAAGAAGAAGTAATAATATACTGCAGGGGTCTAAAATAAGTTTTGCATCGGAGCAATATTTTCAACCATTAGAGGGTGGATGAGAATTTAAGCTTTAAGTCGCTTTGGATAAAAGCGTAAATTAGTAAAAGTAATATTGACTTGCTTCAACATGTTGTTCAGTTAGCTTTGTCGGTAAGGTGAAAGACTCACAACCCAAGGGCGGAGGGTTCAATCCCACCTGACAACTTTCTTTGTTCTCTCTCTTCAACAAATGGATTCTGCAGCGAATGTTTCTCAGATCTCGCTGTGTGCTGCACTGTTTTTGTTTCTGTGTTTGATCCTCATCCATCAACCTACGGACGCTTTTTCATTTAGGGGAATCACGTTCTCTGACGGCTCTTTCAGACGTGCGTCAAGCAGCTAAACACTTTTAATGTTGTTCAAAAAGTAAAAGCTCAGTTCAACTCCAATACACATTACATTACAGTAAACACGCTTTTATTTTGTAGGCAAAACCACTAAAGAGGAAGTGATTATGTGAGTAACTGTTGCTGTCATGACAGATCTATTTCAGCAGCTATCAAAGTAGTTATTTATTTATATTTTTTGCCGCTATCAAAGCACCATAATCTGGCAGCGGGCCAGGATCCATAATCACAGAGAGAATGAACGTGTTTCACTTGTCAATGTTTGTCTAAACTTTATCTAACGTGTGGTTTATGATGGACTG